TTAATTTGTTTTGAGAAGTGAATGTTAGAAAATAAGAAAAAGTTTAATGGCGTTGCCTTAAAATAAAAGCTGAAGATTGTGGCTCCACATGCTGGGTTCATATCTAAGGCTTTGTCAGCCCTGTTATCACAGCTGTGCCAGTGCCAGCGGTGCCACAAGCAAATAAACAATCATCTTATTATCCTGTCAAAAGCTGTTAGATGCTCTTTTGTTTTTGGTTTAGTTTTTATCCTGGTTTGCAAAGTCAAAGACTGCTTCTGCTTTTCCGTCAGGAACAGAAATGACAGGAAACACGATTGATGAACGTCTCAATCATAGCACCACACCATGTTTCCAGCAGTTTACAGCAGTTCATTCAGCCGTATTGTTTTAAGAAAACATTTATTCACATTCATATCAGTGCATTTGTTTTTCTTACATACTGTATTGGTGCATTTAGATACATCTCTATGTGTGCTGCCTCACAAACATGCACATAGTGTTAAAATTCATATGTTTGTTTACGTACTGGTGCATAAAAGAAACATAATTTCTGCATTTTCACTTGAATACTTCATTTTTGTACAATTTCCCTTTCACATAAGAGAGACAGAACCCAAACAAAAAGGAAACAAAGAAAGAAAACCCCAAATGCTAGATCAGGTTTTAGCAGCTGACAGATATATTTGACATTTAACATTTAGCATTCTTACGCTAACATTTAGTATCTTTCATCAAACTAATCTGGGCTACATTACTATGTCACATTCCCGAGCACTTTGCTCCTCCTCTTGCTCCTTATCTCTCTCCATAATTTATCTCTTTTTCCTCCTTTTGTCCATGTCGTCCTTTACATGTTCTCCTCCTCCCCCCTCTCTCTCTTTCTCTTTCCCTTTGTTTTCACCTTCTCCTCTTTATTCCTGGACATTAAGGATCTGTGCAGACAGTCCATGATGCCAGTTCTTCAGCTTGGCAAAGCGGGGCCCTTTGACCTCCGACTCAAACTTCTCTCTGATGGTAGGGAAAACAATACGTGTGTGCGTGGGGAAAGAAATTAAATAAATAACACTTTTTAGTTTACGGTTAGGTGCATGCATATTTGGAGAGTGACACACTTCTTTATAATTTTTCATCTGTACATCATCAAAGTGTATTACAGAAGAAAAAGCCAGTTTTAAACATAGTGCACCACTTTTCCAAGTGGATTCCAGAGAACTGAGGAAAAAAGTATTTTTCTGTTTTCGCGATTTCCTGCCTCTTTGGAAGCTTCATTTAAACACCGTTGACAATGAAGATGAAGATGGAGGCTTAGACTCCAGGGGGTCCTATCCTAATTCCTATCACTGGGAGTCATCAGAGTCTAATCGTCAAATAGATTAATTGTATTCTGTATCTCGGTATCTCTCCTTTCTGAAATAAACTGATGATAGTAAAGTGTTTCTTTAGAGGTTGTCAAAAAACAACTCTCAAGACGTACAAGATTAACTTGCACAAAAATGATGGAAGGAGAAGAGTATGAAGATGGAAAAGAGCAAGTCATGATCTAAAGCATGCCAGCGTACTGAAGCATGGGCGTATATAGCTGCCAGCCAGTGGAGCTGGTTTACTAGTATTTATTGCTGATACGTTCCTAATAGAAGCAGCTGAGCTCTCTGCTCAGATTCAACCAAGTGCTGCAAAACTAATCTGACAGTGCAAGTGAATAATTAGCTGAGGCAAAATTCAAAATATGATGTTCTAGTGTCAAAATAGGTTATTAGATATAAAAGTTAAGTCAAAGAGACCCTTAAAGCAGAAGGAAAGCTGGCTGCAGTAAAGGCCTGGCAGAGCAGGGTTTCAAGCAGGGATCCAAGCATTAGAAACAATCCTTCCATTAAAAGTTATGTTGGTTTGTCCAGTTACTTTTGAGCATATGAAAGTGGATTGCTATGTATAAAAATGGCAGCAATAAACAGTTAATGCAATACCTTTCTTAAACCCTTTTAATTAAAGTTGAAGTATCCACTTCACTTCAGCTTAGCTTTCTATGTGTTTTTCTTTAAGACTAGGTAGCTGATGCCAGTTGATGTAATTTTTCAATTTTGCTAAAGTATCTGAACCTCTCTAAAGTCTCCAACTGTCAGTAGACTGGTCACGCACCATTAAAAGACCACTCTTACCTTGACTTCTGCAGGGCTTCCTCATCTGGGTCTTGCACTGCATTGACAGACATAAACAAGAGCATTTAGTAAGATCTCTCAATGAGATGATAACTAATTGAAGATTTGGAAGGAGAAGTATCGGGCACATTCAGGGAGAGGGTATGAAATCATAAAGGATGAAAGGACAAGAAGATAAGGTGGAGTCAGTGTACTGACGGAATTCGGTGCCAGTGATGTGGGCCAGAATCCTGAAGCTTTTAGACTGCAGGTTGGCAGCGCGGCGAGCCCAGTCAGTCATGTCCAGGGGCTCTCCTGGCCTGATCACTGCCTGGTACACTGGAGATGCACAATCTACCACAGGCTCCTTGATGGGCAGAACACCACTGCAGGACAAAGAGTTCAGTTAGATGTCATCGGAACAATGATGGATGTTAAGGCCCAACCTTTAAAAGCTGAAACTAGATCATGTATTAAGTGCCCATGATACACTACCACCTAACGATATTAGAGTAGTAGAATATTTGTACACCAAAAACAAATATTGGAACAAAAAGTAAAATTGCCTAAAGCATCACTCTTTTAATTCAGTGTTGTGAAGAATTATTTGCATCCTTCCTAATTTCTTAGTTTTTACATTTAGTTTTGACATATTTCAAATTATTAAACAAATTTTAATACTAGACAAAACCCAAATAAATACAAAATACAGTTATATATCCAAACCTACCAGGCCCTGTGTGAAAAACTAATTGCCCCTTGTTAAATCATCAATTAGTGGTAAAGTTGTGAAACTTTTGCCTGCCAAACGTACAACAAGAGTGAATGATGACTCATCCAAGGGGTCATAGAAGAACCCAGAACAACATCTAAAGAACTGCAAGCCTCACGTGTCACAGTGTTCATGGTTCAACAACAACAAAAAAGAGACTGGAAAGAAAATGGCATCCATGGGAGACTTCCAAGGAGAAAATAACAGGTGACAAAAAAAGAACACAAAAGCTTTCTGCACATTTGTTAAAAAACATCTTAATGATCCCCAAGACATTTGGGAAAACAATATATGGTCTGATGAGACGAAACGTAAAGTTTTTGCAAGATTTAAGTTCCATTACAGCATTTCATAAAAAGAAAATCATCTCATCAGTCAAGCACAGTGGTGGTAGTGTGATGGTCTAGGGCTGATTTGCTGCTTCAGGACCTGGATGACTTGCTGCAACTGATGGAACCATGAACTCTGTTCTCTGTGAAAAATCCTAAAGGAGAATATCTGGCCGTCAATTTGGACCCTTAAGCTCAAACGGACTTGGGCTGCAGCAGAACAATGATCCGAAAAACACCAGCAAGTCCATCTCTGAATGGCACAAAAAACCCAAATCAAGGTTGCAGTGACCTGAAAAACTTTGGCATGATCTTAAACAGGCTATTCATGCTAATAATAATACAAAAAAACCCTTCAAAGTTATCAAAAAAAACCTTGATTGCAGTTCTTTCTGCCAAGGGTTTTGCATCATTTCATGTTATCTTTGTCTAGCATTAAAATTTCTGTGATTATCTGAAACATTTTAGTCTGACAAATATGAAAAAAATGAAGATATCTGGAAGGGGGCAAAGACGTTTTCAGAGCACTGTATGCATATTTGTATGTGTCTATAATTCTTTGCTTTTTAGGAGTTCTTGAAAGTCTCTAATCTCAGTGTGTAACAGACCTGAAACTGGAAAGACCTGCTGAAATCTGCAGTATTAACACCCACTGAAAACCCACTAAATATTGAATTTTATACAATCATGGGCATTTATTACATTAAGGTTAATTATTACATTTTTATAGTTTATGTGTTAATCCATCATATTCAATTCTGTTCTGTTGATCTATAGTTTTACCTTAAGTGCCTGTATTTACTGTCTTGTAGTCTTCATGACAGTAAATACTCAGGAGCATGTACACAGCAGTTAGTAAGTGATTCAGTGCGGGTCCGGGCAGTAGATGTTTTAAAAACCTGTGATACTCAGAACATTCCCATGCCATAAAACTGCATCAGATGAAATCCCATCAGGTTCCCGAAGCTGTGATGATACTGGCTCCTTTTTTCAGAGTATGACTCTAAACTCGACTTGCACTCTCACACTAAGGCCAAAGTACCCACGGGTACTTCCTCACACATAACCATGACAACCTCATGGTTAGTGTGCATCAAACACTTTGATGTGATGTTTCAGACAAACACATAAAAACATAAATTCTGTATACAGGAGGCTGGAGGATTTTCAGACAGTTTTCAGTCGGGCATTAGTTTATGAGACACATGGCACAATGCGCAAGCTATTATGAAGTCGTGAGACGAGAGGAGACGCACGGATGAGGAGAGGCGAGACGGAAAAGCAGCTCTGCTGTACTTACGCCAAGGGGGAGCCTGCCTCTTCACTTCATGTCACAACCAGGAAGGAAGGATGGGGAGGGATGGGTGGAGGACAGCGCGGGTGTGGTTGGTTGGTTGGATGGAATGAGCAGAGGAAAGTGGGTGAAGGCACGGAGGAGTACTCGGCACGGACACAGACAACAAGGAAAAGCCCGGGCATACACTACACCACTATAGACACCCTATTTGTAGCAGCGTAGGCTTAACGTATGCTCAGAAGCTCCACCTTATTTGGAGCTTTTCAGGCAAAAGTTAAAAGGTCAGTTTCATCAACCACTGCTGTTTTATCAGACACATTGGCATCTCATAGTGGCAGTGATGGTGTGACCTACTGCGTTATGGCAACAGTAAAATGGGATTCTCATTCATAACTCACAAGTTGACTTGCAAACTACCCTTTGGTGTGTCATTTACACACAGAGGCATATTTTAAACCAATCTGACAGTCAAAGTAGATTTTAGTGCCTTAATATAACCAGCAAGTGAAGATTAAGTGAATGAATATGGGTTTTTTTGTCATTTGAGCAACTGACCCTTTAATTTCTAAACACGTGGCTTTGTTCAGTCAGTGTGATGTCATCAAATGGTGAGTGCAAAAGAGGTATAAAACACCTGGGGGCGGGATTGGTTTAGTTGTGTGTCCTCACCTGTCGTGTCCCTTTGCCTGTGACTGCCCTGCGATAGCGTCCATGATGGCGTCCTGTGAGTACATGCTGATTGGTGTGTTGTACTGAGCGTGAACGATAGTGGCCTTTCCTCCTGGACCCTTCACTTCAATGGGCTTGTGGGTGGACAGGGCTGAGTCTTTCAAAGCAATGGGGTTGAAGCTGGGGGTGTACTCCACACTGTCAGAGCAGGTGGAAGGGGTGAAAGGTCAGTGGGTAAAAGAAGAAGATTTCAGGTGTGGGGTGAAGGGTTTAAACATGAGGCGTTAACAGACGGGGATATGAGGGGAACGAAAAGGCAAGGTCAAGGTGTAGTCATGCAATCGGCAGAAAGGGGGGGCTGTTGTACCGCTGTAGTGGTTAGCAAATATACACCACTCTGTACTGTAGCTGTGTCCCAGCTCCAAAACATGGAAAAATGTGTGATTCCATACTGGATTCGAGCCCCAGATCTTCTTGCTGTGGGGAAGCAGTGCTAACCACTGCACCACCATGCCACATATGTTGACTTACACCATCAAAGTTTGAGATTGTCTACAAACATCACTTGAAAAGTTCACAATTTATTAACAGTATTTAAGTGCCCATAGACATAGAGACAACCTAACAGCTCTTTCACTTTTAATGCTGAAGCCACAATGAAGTATATTTTAAAATAATCTAGTTGACACAGGGAGCATTGCATCCTGCTGTCACTGTTTGGAAGGGACATTAGCTGCTGCGTATGTCATATGCTAACTTCTTACAGTGCAATCCAGCTGAAGTCAGAATTTCCAAGTTCAGAAATGGAACTTTCACCTGGAACTCTGCCTTAAAATCGGATTTCAAACTTGAAAAGTTGGAGCAACCCCACCATCTCGACTGAAACTATTCTAGATGGCAGCAGCGAATGTAAACAGTAAAACTTTTCATCTGTATTGTTGCATATTTGTGACTTGCTAAATAAGCCACAGGCAGATCACTGACCGGGCTCTATCGATTATGGGCTGCGGTGGCTTTTAAGTGCTTGTCACACATGACAGGATTTACCTTAGGAGCAAAAAAAAAAATAAATAAATAAATAAAATAGTGTTTCTTGATTTTCCAAGTTGAAAATGCTCAAATCGGGAATCACGTTGTTCCAAGCTACAACGCCCAACTTTAGAGGGAAACTAAACACAGCATCATTCGTGTACTATGTGCGGCAAATGTTCAGATCCTACTGGATAAATATTTAATACCAGTGAATTAATATTTCTAATATTTGTGGAATTGGGACACAGCATGTCAACAGAAACTAAAAGGTCTTTGACATCATCTCTTGAACATTTCTAAACTCTTAGCTTTTACTTGACAAACAAACAAGTCCAAAGAAAACCAAACATGCTAATGTTTCAGGCACCCAGCAGGCCAAACTGACAGGTCATCACTGGCATGTTTAAAATGATGCACTCAGTTATACTGATATAGGCATAGTACTGCAAATACATAACATATCTGTTATGAATTTCACACACAGTAAAACTGATTAACACTGGGATTGCCAGGCTTCTACCGTCTACCAGGCTTCTAAGGACCAGCAGAAGTGGAAATGCAGGTAAATGTCTCAGTACATTATGAGTTCAGTGCTGATGCTGGAATGCCGGCAGCCTTAAACAATTTCCTTTGGGATCAATAAACTTAATGAAATGAAATGAAAATGAATAATTATTTAAGGGAGAAATAAAAATGTGTCAGCGCTAAAATTTACAGTCTGTTTTGGTTTCTTTGTCTCAAAATGTAAGTAACGTTGGAACTCGTCTCTTGGCTACAATGTAATCTTGGCAGGCATGTTACATTTTTATGATAAAGTAAATGGTAACAGAGCTGTCAGATAAACAAAGTGAAGAATGATGCACAGTCATTTCTTGTGACATGGAGAAAAGTAGAGATTCTGGCCAAAGTCACCAAAGTAATGTGGTAGTCTGCCATTTTCCACTCCTGGGGACCAGATGATTTTAACATGACTTGAATTTTTAGCTTGTGAACGCCACGCTCAGTGCAGCCCAACAGCTACAAGGAAGCTTTAGTTCAACCACAAACACACAAATCCCACAACTTCACACCAAAGTTACGAGTGGATGATCGAAAATTGCTAATACTGCTGCGCTTCACTTCATGCACATGAAATGCTGTAAAAATAAATTAAGGTACTGACTTTGCAGCTGTGTTTGCAATAACCTGAAACACACCAGAGGAACCGACACACAAAGAGAGACAAATAGACAAAAGGAGGGAATGTGGTGAATCACTACAGGTATTTTTTGTGGATAACAATAGCTCTATGTGCGTTGCAGGAAACCATCCGGCTACAGTGCTCATGTGTAATCCCATGTACTGGTCGAAATAGCAGCCTTTTTCCCATCACTGGGATATTTCCCTGCTACCCCTGAAACCTCAGGAGTGACTGACAGGAGCAGAAGTGTTTCAGTCACATGACACAGGACGGCAGGGATGAAGACACATTTAGCGCAGAACAGACAAAAATATACACAACCACACAAAACAGAACGCAAACCACCCGCTCAACTTATGTCAGAACAGCAGACATTACAGATAGATGAACACAGGCTGGCACAGACAAGTTACTGCAGATTTCTAACCCTGCATATGGAAATATTTATGTTGGTTTCACTTTAGCTTTTGCCAAGAATCTGTCTCATGTATAAAAGGTTACACTCTGGGCTCTTAAAACCTGCTAAAACAGGAGTTTGTAAAGTTTCACACAAATTCACCTTCATAAATCTGCATCCATTTCACTCTTATTCTCAGGGTTACTTGGAACAAATGGTGGTTTTCAGTGTTGTTTCATTTTTAATATGGGCACAAGACAAGGCTAATGATATGGCAATAGTTCGGTCTGTCCATCCATCCATGCATCTAGCTTATTAATCGCTAATAAACTCAGAGTAGCAGAGGAGACTGGGGCCTATCCCAGACACAGTTATATAGTTTTATTAAATTTTCACCTACTGCAGAGGTCAGTTTGAATGTGCTTTGAGTTTGTGAGTATTTGTGAGTTCTGTTGCTGTTTTCAAAATAAACTGAGAGGAAAAACAGAGTGCCTGATAGTTTTAATGAGCTACACATAGTGCAGCATAACCAATATCGTGTGAGATTTTAAGCCTGAATGATTTCAATCTTCAGAGAGACTGACTTCCTCTTATGCGAGGAATCACTGCCAACTTCATGTTGTCAGTGTAAATGTGTTCAATTCCATGCTGCCACAGTGGTGAGACACATAAATGTTTGTCTCTACAGTACATGGATGTGTTCAGGGTACAGTAAAGCGAAACATATCACGTATGGGGCATCTCCCTATAGACGGGGGTGTCCTTTCTCAGGTTTGGCCTTCAGGGGATTCAGGATGATGGTGTGTAACCAGAGCGGAACATTCCATAACTGCGTACAACAGCTGCTCGTCCTCTCCGAGTGTGTGTGTGTGTGCGTCTGTGTCCGCATGTGCTCAGTGAGGTGGGGCTGCTGGCATGACGCTGCCGTCATCATCCTGTGCTCTGCATGGAGCACGTTTTTCTGACACCTGACTTCCCATTGGCTGTTACTGTAAGGGCTCAGCAGAGGGGAAACAGATTAGGGGGAGACTGATACGTGGCTGTGATATGTCAGAGGCCAAACACGTTACACCCTTAATTAAACTCTACACGTATTCCATGACTGAGACTTCACGCAAACACATGCCATCCTTCTGAGAAGAGACCGCTCAACAGCGGCCATAATTCAACTCCCACCAGACTCCAGGTATGGGAACTTCCAGATCAAATATGCAACATGAATATGACTTTACGGACACCAAAAAAGAAGAATAAGAAAGAAATGGAGCCAACCTGAGCTTTGTTAGGTGGAAATATGAGTTGAAGAAAGTGCTGTTTTTCTGGTATCTGTTTAGGAAGTATATATAAGAATGTGCAAAATGTGTTATATTATGTTTTGTCCAAAAAATATATTATGTAGCCCAATAATGCACTGTGAACACAGAAGAAAAATTATTATTATAGTGGCATTTTCCCTCGACGTTGGAGCTAATTTTGAGTCAATCCCTTGGTTTTCTGTGGAGCTGAAAATCACCCTCTATAAGGACGTCTTTCATTACATGAATATCAACTCTAAAATTTAGTATAGTGGGGCCCTACAGTTATATTCTCAAAACTGATAAATTTAGAAAGAGAAAAGCACAATGCTGCAATAAATGGCCACTATTACACTGAATAATTCAGTGATAACAGCACAATACAGCAGAAAGGATTAGTCAGTTACAGGTTATTAAATATGTGATCCACTGAAAAACATTGTTGCTATTTTATGGGTGAAAAACCAAAACAGTTTTACAAATTATGACTTTAATTTTTAATGAATGTTTCTGCATTTTTCCCTTAGAATTGTTTAATCAAAATAAATGTTATTGGTTTGTTTTCTGAATCTAAACACACAGATAGCCAGAAGGCGAAAACAAAGATAAAAAAGCAACAAAAAACAACAAAATTAATACCTAATTAGTTAGATCTATTGAATAAAAAAAACCAGAATCTGACACCTTTTGTTTTTTGGTTTTTTGAATGAGCTCAGAGAACCGTAAGTCAGCACCTGTACAGCGGGTTTGTTTTTGCTATACCTGCAGCGCTTTTACCTTCGCATCAGCGACACTCACAAAAACAGCATGTCTCTGCTTCAAACAAGAATAAAACCTTTGTTGTGGGCTTTCATTCCCATGTGTGCAGTAAGAGGGATGCATTCCCCGGATGATAAAATCTTCAAAAAACCAACTTGGGGAGCCGAAACAGCAAAAAGACTTCTTTGGTGACGATGTTGCTGATGGCAGCATCATTTCACTGGCTTTATGTTTTCATCTGGAAGAGTCAGTTTTTGTTCTGAGATATTTAAATGTAGTACTGAGGGAATGTGACCTTTAGTAAAGAGGCTCCAAATATCCTCAAATGATCCCGTTCTGTTACCTGGATGCAGGCCAGGTGCATTTGTATGCACACTCCTAAAATAGCGCCACGTGTGAGAGGTTATGCGTACTGGAATAGCAGTGGAAAGTTCTGAGTATATTTTCTGTTAATCTTTGGTTAAATGAGGGAGGTGTGGCTTCATTCCTTGGGTGAGCTCTGTTTGGCTCTCCCCCCAGATTAGTTATCTTCTTCTCTCCGTATTATTTAACCGGTGGTTAAAGTGTGCTAACCTACCCCAGCGATGAAACTCTTCTGGCCGATGCTGATCCCTCGCCTATTTTGCCCTGCATATCAATCATATCTCTGAGAGTTTCGGGGGAGTAAAGGCCTATTGGGGAATTGTACTGCCCCCGTTGGCTTGGTGGAGATCTTGAAGCTGGGAAGAGATTTCTTTTGCAGGGTTTTTTGTCCAGGAGGATTCCACAAGACTCTTGATCCTTCTTTTGAACTTCTCCTGCAAAATGTTCCTCTTGTAATGCCTTAAAAATGGGAGAATGTCAAGATAGATGGATATATAGAGATGAAAAATGAATCTTTTAAATTAAACCAAAGCTAGCAGCTTGTTTAGCAGTTGTTCTGTTGGTGTTTTGTTTTTCTTTTGCTGACCTCTGACCTCCCTGTAGTGATTCCCCTTCAGTTGCACTGTGAATATTTTACACTAGAGGGCAGCAGGTCACTGCCTGATGGCACCATTATAAAATAGTTAATCATATTCTTACAAACACGTATAAGACGAGGATTCGGAACACATTTACCAACACACAGGATTTAACAGACAACATATATGATATTCAGTAGGTCTGCGTGTGTCATTTAGGTATGTTTTTTTATGATAGAGCGGCTGTGTTTATACCTTCTGGTGAGGGATGACTGGCATAGGTGAGTCCATCCTTGGAGTTGCCGTGGGAACTGGGGCCGGGCGTCTTGATCTGTAGATTATACAGCAAAAAAATAAAAAATTCTGTTCAGGGAGAAAACGTCAGATGTGTTTTCCTCATGTCACTTTTTTGGTGTTAGAGCTGCAGAATCAGCCAGTTTTTCATATGCATAACTAGAAGTTGGAAAAATCTCATGTGCTCACCTTTAGTCTAAATGGAAACTGTGTAGGCGGATTGAAGAGACTCTCATAAAATTAAACTGATTTGAACTGAGTGTGTACATAGAGGGATTTCGCGGAATCACAGCTAGTTACAGAGCCAATCCCGGATCTGTTCGTTTACTCAAGTGTGAAGTGGAACCTTAATTTTCTGAAGTATCACTTTCATCACTTTGTCCTCCTCCTTAAACGCCCAAATTGACAAGGCAAATCCAACTCAAGTCCCTTAAAAGTTTCTTCTTCATCATCTACTTTAGTTTGTGGGGGTGGGTGTTAAGATATAAGTGTGCTGCTTGTTTACTTCTGCATTGAGAGGGTGAGTTTGATGGTGGCAGACTTGATCTTGTTCTGGGCCTCCAGGTGCGTCATCCCCTCGGTGCTGACCCCATCAATAGCTGAGATGATGTCACCCTGGGTCAAGCTGCCTCCCGCTGCCTTGCTGCCCGGAGTTATCTAAGGAAAGGGTCAGCAGAGCAGGTCACGCTAGAGCCACTGATACACCTTCCTCAGAAAACTGACAAACATATGCAGTTACACTTAGTACAAATTGACCTGCATTTAAGAAAGTTACAAACACAAGATACGATTCAAACAGTTTCTTCATCTGCCTGCTAATGTTGGCCTTAAACCGCCCAGCCGACATGTTACTTCCGCTTCCACTGTAGCTGCTCTTTTCACTCAGTTATTAATGCTGTGTGTGTGTAGCGGCACAGTAAATAAGCCTTAAAGTTAGTGGAGAGAAAAGCCAATGAAGCAAACTAAAGTAATCCTTCAGCTCTGGAGATGAGTTATGTTAACTGACAGAGCGTGACCAACTGTTATCTACGAGTCTAATGAGTGTCAACAGCAGAGAAAAAACAGTGAAATAAAAGCAGCAACATTTCAGAGCCACAAAGCGTGCAGAATACTTTTATTCCTGACACTGAACTTATTTCATTGAAATGTCTCATGTCGGTTAGAGAACACAGAACAAGAGAGAAAGAGAAGAAGGTCCTTAACAGAGGGATGGGAAGATTTTCTTGAATTTGAATGACAAGAAAAAAGATTTTATTCTTCAGATTATGTAAAGCATTACATCACTTTTCTTTGTCACTTTCAGTTATCCTTCATGTATGACCTTCAACTCAGTATTCCTACTTCTAGCTGTGCAACAAAGCCTC